GTCTCCACCCACGTACCTGGGGAACTCAGGGAGTATTTTCTCACTGCATCATTCTTGTGATTATTTCTCCACATTTTTCAGGTAAACAACACAAACACGTCCGGACCAGCACTCGTTTGGAAACTCTCTCTCATAATGAGAAAATATTTCACCAAAATTCTGAAAACGAGGCGAAAAATAATCCACGGAGTTGCTGAATCCGTCTTCATTTTGGATTGACAACGATTAGTTGTTTGAAGAAGCAGCAAGCTTTTACGCTTCTAAATTTTCATAAAGTAACCTCGACCTCAACATTATGCAAATGAGAACCAACCAATGGGGCGCCCCGTCTCTCAAAACGTACCGTCACTACTAGAATTCATTGCACAGCTGGGAACATTTTAGTGGGAGACTGCTAATACTGATCAATACCAATCAATAATCAAGATGAAGTGAAGATGGAGGGTTACTCACCCTGGGTCCAGGAAATCCCACAATCCCTTTCTCTCCTTTGATCCCTGGCAGAGCGTCCAAACCCTTAGAGCAATAACAGATCCAATGTTCTCAATAATCAATAAGTGTTCAATAATCTGATCAGTTCATGACGAACCAACAAGTTGTGTCTAAATGTAGAACAAAGGTTATGAAGTAGAACCCTGGAGAACCCTGAACTCTGTGTTCCTTCAGGTTTGATCTGATTTTTAAACTTACCGGCAGTCCTGGAACTCCACAGACGCCTTTAACCCCTCCAAAACCCTGAAGAACCAACAGAACCCGACATTAGAACCAACAGAACCAGAACTACAGCAGTAGAACAGTATTAGAATGGTATAAAGCTGTGGTAAAATTGGCTGTAGCAACCTAAAGCCACACCAACCTTCTCTCCTTTGATGTACAGGTCTTCTGGAGGGTCCACATACTCAAACGGCCCCGGAGGACCCTGGAGGCCCTGATCCCCCTGTTGACCAAACACAGCACTGTGATACTACTACTGTAAAACACTACACAGAACTACGCAGAACTACGCAGAACTACACAGAACTACGCAAAACTACAGTAATGTTAAACACTTTTTTATTTGTACCTCATCTCCTTTCTGTCCGGGCAGAGATCGACCTTTTTCTCCCTGAAACACAAAAACACATCAACGCCTGTCAGAAATTATCTATAATCAATAGTGAGTAATCAGTAAAGATGGTTGTGTACTAGTGTAATTACTGCAGATTAAATAAAGATCTCTGTCAGTATTTAAAAAGGAAATGTGTTGTTTCTCAAGTAAACGTTGGTATTTGAAAGCTGACCAATAAAAGTTGAATATCATCATTTATACAACAGACGTTAGAAATATAAAAGTACTTCCAACCAAGCAATCTCAGTGGCCAAATAGACATTCAGAACGTGATGACATATTAATCCTCCATTTCCGTGGTACTGGAGCATCAGTCGGCTACAATAAACCAAAATCTGAAACATATTTTGTTTCTATATTTTAAACTTAAGACAATAACATGCAAAGCTGACTTCAAAATTAGGTTATCTGTAATCTTATAAGCAGCAAATTATCCAACAAAAGCTCATAAAAATATAACAGTATAGGGTAAGGTATAATGTCCGGTGAGGCGTCCATTAATTCCTGATATTGAACACCTGGAAGGGCATTATCCCGCTT